AGGCCTGGACCAACAACTCGAGGCACGTCTTCTGCAGCTCGAATCCTCGACGGCGAGGATGCAATCCTCATCCGCCTCCGTGAACTCCGACAGGAGCAAGCGGAGCTGCATTGGCACGGGCTCTACAGGATCTACTGGTGCCCGCAGCGTCGGCTTCCACCTCGGACGAGCTGACGCTGATTGTGATCGTACAAAGGCGTGGATCGGTGTATTCATGCGCAAGATGCTCGCCGCCTCCATGTCGCAGTTCGCGAACTCCGCCCTGACCAACCCGCCCACGCACGAGCGCAACCTGGTTCAGATCAAAGCGCACAACTTCAACAAGAGCTTTTCGATGAAGTTCAGCTCCGTCGACCAGGCCAATGAGTCTGTCCAGCGAGCGCGCGACAACCCGCAGATTCTGACGTACGCCGACCCCGTCACGAACGAGAAGCTTTGCCCACGAGCACGTGTGGATGTTCCTCATGACGTACGCTCGCGCAACAAGATCCTTGGATCGCTGTGGCAATCCACTATTACCTTCATGAAAGGCAAGGGCGCGTGGACCGACAAGATGAAGCTCGGGTCAAATGGTTTCCGTGGCATCCTCTTCCTCATCGACGGTGAAGTCGTTCAAGACCTGTACGTCGTCAGTGAGAACGCCTCCGACAACCGTGTCATTGTCCCCGGCATGGCTGCGCTCAAGAACGCCAGGTTCGCTGAGGCTGACGTGACGACCGCCGCCGACATTGCCAAGTCCATCAAGCGCCAGGAAACAGATGCACTGCATGTGCTGAACGTGAGTGAAGCCAGCGCCCATTTGTGCGCATGCACGGCTGCAGCTGCCTCGCCGCCTGTTCTCTTCTCCCCCCTCGTCCTTCTTCGTGTTCGGCGTGCTCTTCCTCTTCGTCTTCCTGCTCTTCCTCGTCTTCCAGCCCGTCGCGATCGGTTTCGCCGTCCCCGAGCATTTCGCGTGCCCCACCTTCTTCCGCCTCCTTCGAATAATCGAAAGATTATCCATGGTTACTTGGAACGCTCACGCTCTGTTTGCCTCTGCGTATGCAGATCACACTCGTCAAAAACGCACGGTGGAACGACTCGACAGGTTGCTGGCGCAATTCGACATCGTTTGCCTTCAAGAATGCCACGGGCAGCAGGAAGATCTCGACCTTTTTCTTCGTGAGCGCGAAGGCGCCCGAGCGTGCGGCACTTTCTGCGCCTCCTCCGCTGCGGGCGGCAATGCTATCTTCATCCCCCCGTCTCCCTGCAATCACTTAGGGAGTTTCGACCGTGTAGAGCTGGTCGCGGGCAGGCCGCGCAGTCTTACTCTCCGAGGACCCAAGGGGGCACTCCAAATAGTCCATCTTCACCTCGCTCCCGACATTCCCGAACTTCAAAAACGGCGGACCCTGAACGTGAGAAAGAATGTTATGATGTGCCCCACTATATGCTCCTCGTTTTTGCTACGGGATTTCAACTTCCAGCCCGTCGGCGAGGGCGGGGGCGACCTTTCAGGAACTGTCCATCGCGCTGACTCTCCACTCGCTCGCCACTTCCAAGCAGTTCTGGGCAGCCTGGCGGAAGCCCAGCAGATGCAGCACACGCACCTCGGCCACGTAGGAGACCAGAAATCCCTGGGAAGAAACGACCGCATCTACATGAACTTGTTTTCCGCCCACATCCTGGACCTGAACCCAAGGAGTTTCACGATCGGTTCTGCCCTGGACCCCATGAACCCCTCGGACCACGCCCCCGTCGCTGTTATCCTGGCGTCTGCCAAGCCCCCCGAGGCCCCGAGGATTCCGCGATGGGTCACAAGGGGCCCGCTCTACCCTCAACATGTGGCTGAAGTGATCGGGGAAATAGGTCAAGACAGTCTCTCTCATAATGTTTATCGACGCGCACACGAATTTAAAGGTATCTTTCGTGCTGCCGCACGGCGCGTTGTGGATGCAGCCTACCAGCGTGCAGCCGCCACCCCCGCTGAGAAGGCATCGTGGGCTCTCGCTGTCGCCAGGGGCGTGGCCACTGTCAACATCCCCGAAATTGTGCTTGCATTCCGTGTTTTCCCTTCTCTCGTCAAATTTCTGAACGCGACTGACTACGCCTGGCTCGACGGCTGGCTTTCACGTTTGCCTCGGCTCCATCTCCGCGGCTCTCGTCGACGCCGACATTGCTAAGATCGAATAAGGTTCGCTTCCTCCCGCACATAAGCTCGCCAAGACACAAAACGTGATGCAGCATTACTCGGTGTGGAGCACTAACATCCGCCAGGTCCCCTTGGCGGGCGTCCTCGACAGCTCGGGCCGGTGCGAAACGGACCCGAATGTTGCCGCTGAGAGGCTTGCCGAGCACTGGGGGCCCGCCCATGCGCCTGTCGCGGTCGACGAGGCCGCCGTTGAGCGGATCAAGCCGTTCATTCAGCCAGCGCCTAGGGTCGCGTTCTGGAAGCTCGAGCAGCCCGAATTTGAAGAGATGCTACGCCGTCTGCATGGCACAGGTGCTGGCCCAGACGGGCTGCCGTACTCTGCGTGGACTCGGGCGGGTCCAGCGGTAATCCAGTTGCTTTACGAGCTCTACGTCGATGTCGTCAATTTCGGAAGGCCCCCTGATGGCTTCAATCACTCCCCGGGCGTCCCCCTCCCCGAAGGTACCCGAGAAACCGACGACGAACGTGTCCAGCGTCTCCCTGAGGACATCCGCCACTTGATGCCTCAGCAATACCGACAACAAAATCATTGCCCTCGCCATCAATCGCCCCGTCAGTCGCATATGTCAAGAAGGCTGTCATGAGCGCCAGCGTGGCTGTATCGCTGGACGCGATATACTTTCCTCCGATATTCCCGGGTTGGAAACTCGAGCTGTCTCTTGGTGGTGCCAGCTAGGTGCAGACAGGACGGGATACACCTTTTTCGACATTCTCGCTGCGTTCCCGTCAATGCTGCACGCATTCATTTTCACCATTTTGAAGACCATGGGCTTCCCCGAAGATGTGTTGCACGCGATCGCCGAGCTCTACCGCGACATCAAAGTGCAAATCCTATTCTGCCGCCCGCGACAAGCTTTTTTCCGTGTTCTCCGTGGGGTGAAACAGGGCTGCCCCCTGAGTGGTTCGATCTTCTGCCTCGTTTTCGACCCGTTTATCCGTGTGATGGTGTCAAGGTTGCCCAGGGATGAGGCTTGTCTCGCGGCATTCGCAGATGATAGTGGACTCGTCGCACAGGACATCTACGCCTGTCTTTTCCTCGTTCACCAGGTCTTTCAGCTTGCTGCGCGTGCTGCTGGCCTATGTTTCAACGTCAAGAAGACGAAGGTTGTGCCCTTTAAGCCCCCGAACAAAGAATACGTGCTTGCCTGCGTGAGAGAAGCAGGCGTCTCGAGCAAGCAGTTCGAAATCTGTGTGCGCGCTGTTTCTCTCGGCCTCACTCTTGGACCTGGGGGCCGCGAAATCTCCCTGGACCTTGGGCTTGTTAAATCGGTGGGGCAGTGCAACTTGAGGGCCTTCCCTGTCCCTGGGCACGCGATGCAGCTCCTCACGCCTTCTAAAGAAGCCTTCGCTGCCGAAAGAGAAGCCCTGCAGACCCTCGTGAGAGGGCCCCGTAACGCGTTCACGGACCAGATGATGATGTCGCTCACCGATCTAGGCTTTGCGATCCAAGTTCGAGGCCTGTGCTCAGCAGGTGCCGCTGCGATGTGCCGAGTGGCGCTTACTTCGAGCGCCTTCCACACCTGCTGCAATCTGATGGAGGAGGAGGGTGGACGCAGAGAGTCGCTTCTGGCCATGCGCTCGCCCGAAATGCCCCACCGGTCCGTGATCCAGCAGCTCGAGAGAAATTGGAAGCGCATCTCTGAGATCCCGCAAACCCCTCAATTCGGCGATAGGCAGCTGCAGCGTAAAACTGATCTTCTGTTGCAGCGCCAGGCGAGCAAATCTTGCCGCGCCACCCTCACTGCCAGAATCAGATTCTTCACGCCATCGGCCAAGGAGGCCGGCATTGATGCTCTGATATCGTGCTTGCGCCGCCTGTCCAAGCTTGCCTCTCCTTTCGCGCTCGCTTGCGTTGTCAAGACAGTCTGCAACGCTTGGTGCACTCCGTCGCTTCCCTGGCCCCACCGAGTCATGCCGTCTCTGTGGCTATGCCCTCGGAGGCGACGATATCATCCATATTCTCGAGTGCCCCTGTCTTTCTAGTCTTGTCCGCTTGCTGCCCGCCCTGCCTCCACTGTTCTGCCGTGCCTCGGCCGTCGAGCGCTTGTCCTTTTACCCATTCATCCCGCTCTCTGACTCGCAGCTGCTCGCCTGCGCCCTTTTCATTGATGCTGAACACCACGTTTACCACGCGGTGTAAGCTCGTGGCACGCGTGGGGAGCGTGCCACACATAGGCAAATCCGTGCGAGGTTGCGTGGTTCAGCGAGGCATGACGGTCGCCCCCAAGGGGTGCAACGTCGGCCTGGGTAGCCACTGCTGACCATCGGACACTCTCTCTCTTCCCCCTCGTTCTTGCCCTCGTCTCGCGCCTTGTCCGCTCTTTCTCTCTCTCTCTCTCTCTCTCTCTCTCTCTCTCTCTCTCTCTCTCTCTCTCTCTCTCTCTCTCTCTCTCTCTCTCTCTCTCTCTCTCTCTCTCTCTCTCTCTCTCTCTCTCTCTCTCTCTCTCTCTCTCTCTCTCTCTCTCTCTCTCTCTCTCTCTCTCTCTCTCTCTCTCTCTCTCTCTCTCTCTCTCTCTCTCTCTCTCTCTCTCTCTCTCTCTCTCTCTCTCTCTCTCTCTTTCTTTTTCTCTCTCTCTCTCTCTCTCTCTCTCTCTCTCTCTTGGGGGCCGTGTGCTCCTCCTCCTCCTCCCCCCCCTCCTCCTTCGAGCAGGGCCTCGGTGGCGCTGGAGAGAAGCTGGTCCTAGGGCGCAAGGCCACTTCCGAGGAGGTGCGCCGAGCCCTGGCCAAGGCTCAGCCAGAGCTGGCGCGGCGGCGGGCGGCGATGCGAGGCGGCAGGCGCTGGGCAGCCCATCCCGACAGGGACCTGTTACAGGAGGTAATGGAAGTCCTGGGCGCCCACCCCGGCACCATCTGGTCGGAGCGGGACGAGGCGAGCCAAGGCAAGCTTGAAGAGGAAGCAAACACGACGGCGCTCCTAGCCGAGCAGGTCCTCGAGCTACAGGCGGCGGACCAGCGTTGCCAGAAGCTCCTGGCGGACACGTCTGAGGAGCAGCGCGCGCTGGAGCTGAAGGTCCAGATGGCGGAGGACGAGGCAGCGCAGCTCTCCCACAGGTCGCACGAGCAGAGCCAGAAGATCTCGCAGCTCGAGCAGGCCCTGGCGGAGCTGCAGGAGCGCCGTGGCGCGGCGGCGGGAACCCTCTCCCCAGCGCGCAGGGCTGAGGGGCGCGCCCCGTTCGCGGAGGTCCCCGCCTTCCCGCGCCTGGCCTCGGGCAGCGGCGCGCAGACGGAGGAACTCGAGGTCGGCGTCGGGGGGGGCCAGCAGAACACCGCAGAGCACGGGCAGAGCAACGGCGACGCTCAGGGGGCGCACGGGGACCAGAAGAGCACCAAGCAGAACCAGGGCAGGCACCTGAACATAGTGAAGACGGAGGAGCGCAACGGCACCGCGATGGAGGGCGTCGGCAGCGAGTTCGACGACCAGGGCGGGACGCTGGGCGCCAACGCGGAGGAGGTGAGCACCAAGGGCGGCAAGGACGGCTCCGCGGGCAAGAACATGCAGGGGGCCGTCGGCAACCAGCAGAGCACCGTGGGGAACCAGGGCAGTCACCTGCGCACCTACGCGACGAAGCAGAGCACCAGCGACGTGCAGGAGTACCAGGCGCGGTGGGGGGCCGCACAAACAACCCCCAGCCGGCGCACGCAGAGGCGTTCGAAGAAGCAGCAGAAACCCTAGCTGATGCAGGAGCAGCAGCAAGTAGCGGACGCAGGGACGTCCAGACTCACACGTGTGGCAGTTCTCATCCTCGTGCTGGCCCGCGGCCTAGTCGCCCTCGCTGTGATTGAGAATCGAGGATGGCACGTGGTTTCCGCTCCAGGGAGGTCGGCCCCTGACTGCCACTTCCACGACGGATTCGCGTGCTTGGCCGAGATCTCCGTCGACGAGGACGGCAGCGCGCATGGCTTGGGCCCACGAGGCGAAGAGTATGAGTTCGACGATAGCTACGTCGTCGGCGACGAGATGGTGTGGCTCCTGCAGTGCACCAAGGGATCGCCGCCTTGCTACACGTACTCCGAGCTCTGCCTGCCAGCCAGCGAGGAGGAGCACGAGCCCTGGCAGCAGCCCTAAGAGTGCCAGCGGAGGCTGATCCTCGCCTGCCGACAGAGAGAGGGTGCGTACTGGGGCCGCAGGCCCACCCAGCCACGGGCTCGCGGTCAGCGTGCGCGGCCTGGGTGCCGAGACTTGGGGCACTCTTGCGCACGCCTGAGCACGCGGGTTTAAAACTCCTCCTCCTCCTCCTCCTCCTCCTCCTCCTCCTCCTGCTCCTCCTCCTGCTCCTGCTCATTTTCCTCCTCCTCGGTCGTCGGCATTTGGTCCGCCATCCCCAATATTTTAGGATTCCCAGACGGGGTCAGAGTGGATGGGGTCGGAGGATCGCGCACCATCGCCGATGCATCGGAGATGCGGCTCGACGTGGAGCCCGACTCCCTCCACGCCGAGATCGCCTGTGCACTGCTGGCGTCTCCGATGCATCGGCGATGGTGCCCGATCTTCCGACCCCGTCTCCTCGGAACCGAGGCCTCCAGCAGTGTGCGTCGAGGTTCCAAGGACCGACGACGACGGCGACGAAAGCGACGACGACGCCGACGACGACGACGACGACGACGACGACGACGACGACGACGACGACGACGACGGCGGCGACGACGACGGCGACGACGACGACGACGAAGAAGACGACGACGACGGCGACGACGACGACGAAGACGACGACGACGACCTTCGACGCCGCAGTCTCGTGCCGCTCTGGCGCGTCGCCTCGGCTTCGGACACCCGGGGGGCGTGGCTCGGCCCCCCTTTGGCGGTCCGGGCCCGAGTGCCCTGCCGGCGCGGGACCCCCCGGGGGGGCCTGGCGGGGCCCTCGGGCGCTGCAGGCGGGCCGCGGGGTCCTTCGAAGGAAACAAATACCATAAGCGTAAGCACAAACTTAAACAATGATCAACATAAGCACAAACACAACATCAACACAAGCTCAACAAAATAATGCAAAATACCATCGACATGAACTTTTGGTGTTCCGCGCGGGTTTCTTGGATCCGCGCTGGGCCCCCCCCCTCCGGCGGCGCTTCCGGCGCGGCCCTTGCCGCGCTCCGCGCGCCGGGGAGGGGGGGTCAGGCGCAGGTCCAAGAGATCAAAGCGGAGCGCCGCAAGTTTATGTTTATGCCGTTTTTGTTTTTCAATTCCTCTGGGGCCTCTGGAGGCCCCGAGTGCCTCGGACTTCGTCCGGTTCCAGAAGCCACCGCGGACCTTCAGAGGTCTCCGCAGCGTCGCCGTCGCCTTCGTGCTCGCCCTCGTCATTGACCTTCTCTCGCTCGCTGCTTTCTTTACAATTTTTCTCGCCCCTTTCTTCTCACCTTCCTCTTCCTTATGAGCTCTCCTCGCTCCTCCGCTCCTTCTCTCCTCGTCCCAGTTGTCTTCCAGTGAGGGGAGGAGGGCAGGGAGAGGAAACGGAAGGCTCGCTTGCTCGAGGCGACGGCATCGCAGCCACTCGCCAAGTGGATGCTTGCTGAGATAAGATGATGGCAAGGGAAGAGACCCAACGCGGAATGAGGGGGGCACACCTGAACAAAGAGTCGGCAGGATGGAGGGAGGAGGGGGGAATTAGGCCTGAGGGAGGGGCACAGCGAGGGGGGGGGGGAATGTGCAGGAGACACAGAGTGCTGAACGGAGGAACAGCATCAGGAGGATCAAGTGTGAGGAGGAATGATACCGAAGAGGAAGAGGAGCAGGATGATGAGGACGAGGAGGAGGAGAAATTTAGAGAACTGTTGTGTACAGGCCCTTCTGTTACTGAGCGCCCCCTCTGTATTGGCTGGCCGCCATGCGATACTTTCAGCAGCTCACTTCACGGTACCCTTGCTGCTGAGGAGACATTGCATGATAGCGGAGCAAGGTCGTGGAATTACCCTCGAGAGGAACACCGACCACGCGTCATGACCAGAATGTTTACAGTTGGCAGGTTTCGGGGTCAGCTCTCTGTCTGCACAGCAGCATGGTGATTATGACTTCATCAGAGCGGCCTTTCGAGCCAATCGTCTGGAGCGACAAAACACATCAGTGTACAAAACAGGCAGGTGAACGAGAAATCACACAAACGGTATCACGCGAATGCGAATACTTGGTTAAGCGGGCGCGACATTTCTGAACTTGTTGAACAATGAAAACCCGCATGGGTTGGAAGCGAGGCAAGTCAAATCGTGAGTCAGAGAACTTGAAGGTTGCATGGGGAAGAAACTGAACGCCAATGACACCCTTGACGATGCTCATCGACAGAGACCAGCGATAACCAACGAACGAGACGTGAACCAAATGCAATCCAAGCGCTGCGGAGCTTCAGTGGTGAGACGTCAGAATTCCGCGAATGGAGCGACAGGCTACCCAGCGCCTTGACGCAGGTAAGCAACGTGAGCCATCGAGCTCTGAGTATGTTGAACGCCAAGCTGGGAACCACGAGCGGCGCGGTGCTTGACCCAAGCGACGATCCCTGTTGTAGCCAGGACTTGGGCCAGTGAATTCGTGCCACGGTCTTTGTAGCCGCTCTGGCTCAAAGCTTTTTTGGGATTCGTTC